AACACTTTTTATAAGTTCACAGCGATTCCTAGACCAAAAATTTCGAGAATTACTGCGTTATGGTGTAAACGTCAGCAGAAAGGGCACATCAAATGACAGGGGAAGAGAGGGAGGGAAAAAGACAGAAAGAGAGAGAGAGAAAGAGAGAGAGAGAGATCTTCAATCCACTGACTCACTCCCCCAAATGCCAACAACAGCCTACGCTGGGCCAGGCTGAAGTCAGGAGGCCAGAAGGTCATCTGGGTCTCCCATGTAGGTGGCAGGGACCCATAAGCTACTGCCTCCCTATAAGCAGGAAGACAGACAGGAAGCAGAGATATGTGTGTCCTAAGAAGCAGCCTACCGCTCTGTACCACAAAGCCTGTCTTCCACGTACTTTATGTGAAGATACTAGACCACAGGTTTCAAGAGAACATTGGTTTATCCTCAGAATCCAGCACAGTGCCAGCTATGTAGAAAACATTCAACTACTTCATACATAATGAATTCATAAGTATATACACACATATACACTCAATAGGAAGGTATTTCAAAAAGTACATGGAAATTGGCATTAAAAGATAAGTTTATTTTGGTGCAAAAATTTGGAAATCCATAATATTTTTTCCACAATACATGTTTTCCATGAACTTTCTGAAGTCTCCTTATACACAAATTTCAAATTTTTTTATGTGTGGATTTCAAATTTTTTTGCACCAGAACAAACTTATCTTCTCATCCCATTTTCCCATGAACATTTTGAAGTCCTTTCATATTTCAGATCTCCATTTATTACTATAATCTTATTTCTGAGCTCAGGGACTTTTTTTTCAAAATTTGGATAGTCAGTTACCAAAAAGTTGAACACTATACAGTTTTTTCCAGCTTTAAGAATAATTAGCATGGAGTGATACCAAAGAGCTATTATTATAAGGAAACAGCTATAATGATCAGATAAAATGTAGTTTTCTGTTACACTTTTCATGAATTGTTATTTTCCTTACTTAAATTCATAATCTCTCTCTTGCATACTCTCTCTCTCTCTCTCTCGCTTGCTCTCTCTTTCAGCCACATTGTTAAACTTCCTGCAAGTGTTTATACTGGTGTGTACTCTGTAGTTCCCAGACTTTGGAAAGTGTGAAGCCATAATCATTATTTTGGACAATATACTTTACACCCTCAATCTTGCTTTGAGACAACCCATTGGTATTTCTTGCAGAGATGAGAGAGGTTTGCTTGTCACTTATTGATGGGTACAGAAAATGTAAGAACCACAACAGCCTATCTAATGCAAGGAAGAACACCACAATTGCTGTGAGGTACTGAATAGGCTGCCTAAAATCTGACTATTAGGAGAAACTGTTTTTCAAAATGGTTAACCTAAGACAAAGCCAAGAGCTGACAGATCAAGCTAATCCACTCAACTTGAAGGGATTCTTCTCCACTCACTCATCCTAGTGATGCTTTGTCCTATCTCCATGAAGACAGCAGCCAAACTGGGAACCCAGCAATCAGACCACAGTGAAGGTTCCTACACCCAATGAGCCTGCCTGCTCTGAGGCATGGGAAAGTAGTAGGCCCTGCCATTGGAAAAGGAAAGAAAGTTCTTGAAATCTTCTGGTTACTTCTTAACCCAGAAAAGCTGATTAATACATCTCATTTAGATGGCAATTATGTTCTTTGAAGTCATCACCATCCTTGACTTAGTAAACAGTAGACCATTACTCCTAGAGGAGATACAGTGTTAGATGAGTCTCTGGTCACAACATTTTTATCTACCAGTCAACACAGAACCTGCTTTCATGTATGTGTCTGCTTTTAATACATATTCTTTAATATACTTGTATATTGTTCACTAACACTGAACTCATAGTCACAGCATTGAACTCTTGCCTCAGCTTATCTAAACACATGTGGTTTTTAATAAGGAAATTTTTTTTTGCTAAAGCATATCATTGTCTTTTAGAAATGCGGCACAAGATACATAAACATACTTTACCATTTAAACCATTTTTAAGCATAAATCACAACCATTTAGTTCCAGAACATTCTCATCTTCCCAAACGAAACTCGTTATCTATTAAACAGTAACCACCACCTCCCCAACCCATCCACTCCCCAGCTCCTGGCCACTCCTGGTCTATGTTCTATCATAGCCGCCTTATGCTTAGGAATGCTCCACAGTGCTTCAAATTCACCACTGCACTCAGTGGTCATTTTTAAACAGCGTATTCAGTAACAACAACAACAGCAACGGACAAAAAAATGTGAAAAACGTAGCACTACACAGATCACAAAAAGGGCACATGTTTAGAGTATGAGAGCTGAAACAATAAGGCAGAGCCCTGCCTTGTCTGACCTCAGCTGGGAACATGTGTGTCAGAAGCCTCAAAAGCACCGGGAATACTGACTTTTATAAATAGATTTCAACGACCAGGAAAATTTACAAATATGGAATCCATGAACAGTGAGAATTGATGAGATGTCGAAGTGTCAACCTCTGTTTTCTTCATTCCAGGAGTAAGAATAAAGAACTGACACATGTCTTGTAACAGGATTGCATTAGAAAACTTTCCTTGTCTCAGACGCCTACAGAGGTAGCCTATAGGTATTGACAATTGGCAGTGACAACCGGATGTGGTGTTTATTCGTGTAGAGGATCATTTTAAGCATACTCTCAAAACGTATGCAGGGAACAAACAGCAAGCACTCAAGACCAGGCACCAATCACTTACTACATGATACGTGCCATGTTCAGCAATTTATATGCATTATTGAATTATAACCCCTGAAAACTCTATGAGGAAACAAAGGTTAAAGAAGGTAAGTACCTCATTTGTTTCCAGATAATGAGAAGTGGCAAAGTGGAGATTGGAACTCGGGTCTATTTGACTTCGGAGCTTGCGTTCCCAAATGCTCTGCAATTCTAAGCATGTATAAAAAAGGAGAGGTGGGGCGTTGACTTATTCAGAAGTAAGCGTATTGAAGCATATGCTACATAGCAGATAACATGACAAAGGCTTTTATATTGAAAAATGAATTTGCCAAACAAATAAAACTTTATAAGCCTGATCTGATACTGTTCCGTAACAAAGAGTATCTGAAATCCTCAGGGCATCTGGTTCGTGTCTGGTTTTCCTTAATCTTTAATGATGGGCAAATCCAATGCATTATGGAAGGCCATTTTTTCTCAAGAGATGTAGACACCTCTTAAGAATTTGATGAAAATGCATTAACTTTTCAGGCTACTGAGTTGCATTTTAGTGCACTGAGGCAGTAAATTGGTGGACAGTGTGCAAAAATGGTAGTGACCTAAAAAATAAATATTTGATATGAGCCACTGCATTCTCTTGGAACAACCACAACAAAAAGTAATGGATTAAATCTCTTAGGAGTCCTCAGCTTCCCAAAAAGGGGTCGGAAGAAGAAATCCTGTGGCCTGGAAATATCTTCTGTTTCTCACTGGCTATGTTTGTATAGCTCTTTAATAGTTCATTTGATTAGATCTTGTGGCTCTCAAAGCTGGGGTTGAGAGTTTGATCCTCCAGAGGCCACTTACATTTGGAGAACAAAAAGCTCCATTCTCTGCTCCCAGACCTTGCCCCAAACCCCTGCCAGGTGTCTGCCCTGTGGTCAAATCGAGAAACTGGCAAAGGGGTACAAACCGATCACAGTGTTGGGAAGCAGCAAAAGGGCACCCCTCTCTTATGGTGCTCTTTCTCTTAAGAATAGACACAAGACTTTTTACTTTTACCACTGGAAATCTGAGGCGAACAGATAAGTGCTGCAGCACCAGTCACAAAATGCATTCTCTTCTCAGTTCAGAGAGGTTTCAGCTGGCTGATAATAAACAATGAGGAAGCACATCCTCGGAATATTAATCTGCATTAATAATTATATTAATTCCTTGAGAACAGGAAATACCATAATAGTGATCAGACTACACATGACCTTAATGTGCTGTAAAGTTCTATAAAAACAAAAAAAGGAGACAGGATTTTGAATGCTTTTGCCATAGAGAAATGATAAATGTTTGAAGAGAGAAATGTTGATCCTGATTTGGACATTATGCAATGTACACATATATAGAAAACCCACTTGGCACCCATAAATACATATAATTTTTGTGTATCATTCAAAAATTTAAAAATAAAATATAAATTGTGCCTAATTTTCATATTAGCAGAAGACATTAATCTACTTAAAAATAATTCCATGCATAATGTAACATTACAGCAATTATGATTTTCAACATGAGCTAAGAATTTAGTCAATGGAAAGCAAATTTCTTGAATGTAGATGAAAATCTTACTAGTATCACAATCTTATGTTTTCTTTTAAATTCAGGCCTTCCTAATTTTTACTTTCTTAATTACTTAGCACTAAAAATAATTTGATGCAACAAATGAAATAAATATTTTAACTTCAAATGCTTGCCTAAACTAAACGTAATATAAAATAAAAAATAAAAAATATTTTTACTGCAAATACTGGCCTAAAGAATATAAAATCATTTCAACTTCTGAGGAACTAATGTTTCACTTGTAAGCATGAAGTGTAAATTAAAATTACTCAGTTAAATTATAACTTAAGGGTTTATAAAGATGAATAAGATTTAAGTATAGCTGATTTTACTGTTAACACAGACTTTCACTTTTCAAATGTAACATAGGCCTTTCATTATTTGTAGATTTCTTTCTTTTATGAACTAGTCAAATGAATTAGCTCACCCTTGACTGTAACAAAATACTGTTTGGTGACTTGTGACAGACAGGGTTTTAACCTCTGACAGCGAGATTCATTGTGGAGCAAGAGCCAATCATAGACCCTGACGACACTTGTCTCATCTAAGTTGGAATATAAAAAGCCACTTGGAATACAGTATCAAAGATCCACCGGTGTGGCAAGTTGTCTCTCAAGCTGTTCATGCATTACAATTTTGCTTGCCATTACTGAAAAGCAAAAGAAAAGTAAAAGGAAGACATAAGAACAAGGGAAAGGATTGTATAGCTTTTAAAATCATGCAAAAACTGCAAATCTATGTTTATATTTACCTGTTTATGCTGATCGTGGCTGGCCCAGTGGATCTAAATGAAAACAGTGAGCAAAAAGAAAATGTGGAAAAAGACGGGCTGTGTAATGCATGCACTTGGAGACAAAACAGTAAATATTCAAGAATAGAAGCCATAAAGATTCAAATCCTCAGTAAACTTCGCCTGGAAACAGCTCCTAACATCAGCAAAGATGCTATAAGACAACTTTTACCCAAAGCTCCTCCACTCCGGGAACTGATTGATCAGTACGACGTTCAGAGGGATGACAGCAGTGATGGCTCTTTGGAAGATGACGATTATCACGCTACGACGGAAACAATCATTACTATGCCTACCGAGTGTAAGTAGTCCTATTAGTGTATGTCAACAGTTCTGCTGACTGTTGTTCTAGTGTTTATGGGAAACAGATCTATTTTCAGGCTCTTTTAATAAGCTGTCAGCTTTTATGTAAGAAGCAGGAAAGACAGTCTCTTCTTTTCAAGATTTTGTGAGAAATATGTTGAAACTGAAATCTGTCACACTGTCTGTTTCCTTAAAAAGCTAAAAAGCTAAAAGATAAAAAGCTTGCACAGCGTTAATATTATCTAGTTTAATTGGCAAATACAGCATGCTTATGCCTTCACAGCCTCATACCAACCAGCAAGGCGAGGACTGGCAGATACTACAGCAATGTTAAAAACTCACAGGGAATTTTATAAGTGCACTTGTAAACCAAAATATGCATTTATTACAATAAGCTTTTCACTAGTAATAAAGAAAGGAAGGAACTTGCTAGAATTTTAAGCTTCTTTGAGCACTGCTGAACACCTCCAGCGATTTCTGTTATTCCAAACTCTCTCACAGTGTTTTGTGTGCTTCACAGATTAAAATGTTTCCTTTCGGAGGCTATTACACTGAGGAGCAAGAAAATATTTTAAATACTTTATGTATTAGTAAGAGCAATGACGAAATAAACCGTGACTTCAAATTCAGAAAATGTCTAGGAAATAAACACTTCAGTTGGGCAAGTTACGGCTCCTGAAGTCCTCTCGTACCTTGACCATGGTGCTATTGTTGGCAGTACTGAGTGTGTGTATTTCCAAGCAGGCGTACTGCTTAATAACCTTCGCGAATATTTCATTCTTCATAATGGAACGACTATTACCTGTAGTATCAACGTTGCTCCTGGAAGAAAATGTATTTCCTACAATTCCTCTTTCGGTAGGCTCGAAAGAATACTTTCACCCGGAAAGGGAAACAGACACCTTGACAGAGAAGGCACGGCAAGAATGATTTTGAGGCCATGTGTCTGTGATCTTGCTTTAACACAGTTCTTTGTAAGCTTTAAACCGGACTCAAAACAGTTTCATAGTATTGTTTCCCTTATTCAGTAATCAGATTACAGTGCAACAAATAATTTTCCTTTAAGAATTTCCTACCAAATAGTGCTGGAGTAGATTGACCTTATTTATCAATGATTTTTGAAAGCCAAAAGAATTTGTTCATGCTTGTCTTTAGAATGACAGCTCAGACATAAAGGCAAACTTTTGAGACAGCCTGAATATAACATCAAACTTCTCTCCTAATTACTTGCTTAGTTTTGTTTCTTTAAAAGGATATTCCTGAGCCAAAACCTCCCGGAAATACTATATTTTCTACTGTTTCCTAAGGCTCAGTAAGTTGCTCAGTGCGTCTTGTCCCCAGGTAATTCAGGCCTGGGGGAAGGGTTCCTTCTTCCAGACTGATCGGTACAGCTGCTCCGTCAGCGTAACTACTCAGATTCCCAAAGAATTCTAAGTGGATGTTCCTCCACAGTGTCTCTTGTTCTCTCTAATCATCATCATTTTCAAATTTCATCCACTGCTCATTCCTTCCCAGAATTTTCCTTAGCCTGCAGTTCCTTGGAAGGGGAGCAGATTCTTCACAAATGGTTGAAAGTACCTATGTCTAAAGAATTCTGAAAAGCCAGACTAATTATTTTCCTTGATATTTTCTCGGTATTATGAATGAAGTTTTACCTAGTATTTCATTTACATATGCATGCATTATCCCAATAGAAAAAATACCCAACTATTAGTAAGGAGGGATTTTGTTAACTTATTAATGAAAAATAATTTCAGGAACTCTTGTCTTATTCGTTTATAGCTGATTTTCTAATGCAAGTGGAAGGAAAACCCAAATGTTGCTTCTTTAAATTTAGCTCTAAAATACAATACAATAAAGTAGTAAAGGCACAACTATGGATATATCTGAGACCCGTGAAGACTCCTACAACAGTGTTTGTGCAAATCCTGAGGCTCATCAAACCTATGAAAGACGGTACAAGGTATACTGGAATCCGATCTCTGAAACTTGACATGAACCCAGGCACTGGTATTTGGCAGAGCATTGATGTGAAGACAGTGTTGCAAAATTGGCTCAAACAACCTGAATCCAACTTAGGCATTGAAATCAAAGCTTTAGATGAGAATGGTCATGATCTTGCTGTAACCTTCCCAGGACCAGGAGAAGATGGGCTGGTAAGTGATAACTGAAAAGAACCCTCTAGTAACTTTGTTATGTTTTTGTTCCTAATATGAATGAATAAAAGTGGGAAACAACTACCGATTTCCTATGCTCATGAGCCAGACAAAGGTATCTTACTCCAATGGTAGCCCTGTACCCAATAAAAGTAGGTGTCCAATTTCATATCCTATGAAAAACTCCCTTGATACCCTTCGTTTGCATGAGAGTTTATAAAAACAATTATACCATGGTTCTTAACTTCTTAAGAAGTTCTTTTGAATTGAGAATGAAATATAAACTGCTTTTCATTGATATGCTACATGCTTATATGAATAAAATATGAACTGTATATAATGAATTCCAGTTCATACCCCAAAAATCAGACTTTTCTTTTCCTCTCCAAAGGGTGCCAAATGTGTTGACAAGTTCTGGCTTAGTATAAAGCAAGAAAAAAACCTAACTTTAGTCTGCTTCTTTTTATCTCTGTCTTTCAAATAAAATGAAAAAATGTAAAGCATCATAATGAAAGTAAAATACTTTCATTTGTAGCAATTAACTAATTAGTATAAAAATTATATTATAATAAATATATTATATTTAAGGTCCCTAATGGTAAGCATGTTCATTACTTGATGCACTTATCTATGGATTATTATGTGAAATACCCTCTAAGGACAGTTTTAGTTTCTAAGCCAGTTAGCTTTTACCACTTAACTTATTTCTAAGCTGGTTTAGCATTCTTGCACAAGAATTTGACAACTAACTTAGTATCAGGCAAAATAGATGGCAATATTTTGCATATTATAAAATGAATAAAAACTATTTTAAAACCTAGCATAAATTTAGGGCTACTCTTTTGGCCTATCTATGTTTCTGTTTACTTCTGCTTTCAAAAACTTATTTAATATGACAATATTTTTTCATGGACATCTACTGACATAATTTTCAATAGAATATACTTATAAAAATGAACATTAGTTATCTTTTTAATCTCTAAATGGTCTTGTTTATAAACATTATATAATAAGTAAATCAGATCTATTTCAAATGAAAACATTCTTTAAAAGACTATACAATTTTCTAAATGACTTGTTTTTCTTATATGTATTAATTTAAATGCTATGAATTCCCAAAAATAACATTGGTTTGGACTGGGTTAAATAACAGTAACTATCACATCTGTTTTCATTTTAATAAAGGACAAAAGCTATTATCAATTATTTAAAAAAGCATTCTTTTTTACAAGTAGTATCTTAATGATCAAAGTTGATGATATCACAGCTTTTAATTATTAAACATGTGGTTAATATGGTGCATTCTTATCTTTCCATATAATACAGAACAAAATCTCAAATGCATTAGAAGACTGGGAGAGTGACAGTACTAACAAATGATTATATGAATATGTGAATGAAAACATTCTGCAACACCTACTTTTCTGAATTTTTCTCATAGGGGTTCTCTTTTCAGTCCAATATACACATCACCACCTTCATCAATCACTTAGCTTTCTTTTCCCATTATAACTTATACACTGCTGGGAGGTAGCTCTAGCTTTAATACCCAAGTTTCCCTGAGTAAAGATCCACAGATACAGAGGATAGATGACTATACTCATCCCTCCAGGAATCATCTCACATATTTGGCCAACATATTGAATCAACGCATGTGAAGAGAAGGAGCCCATCTTTTTCTTCCTCTGCCTCTCCTTCCACCTCCCCCTCCCTTTCTCGCCAGACAGATTTTCAGGACATCTATCATGTGCTAGGCAGTTGGATACTACAACTAGGGACAACAAAAATTAAAAGCACATAGAACTGGCCTCAGGGGGATTTGCATTACTGCTATAATCTTTGAGCTATGAGGGGAAAATCAAAACTATTATAAATCAAATCCTTAGTATGATGCCTTTTAAATATAAAGGTATTCCAAGCAAAATGATTCATTTTTCTTAAGGTAAAAAAAGTGCTTTAGAATAAATTGATATACTTATCGTTCTTTCCTTTTCACACAGAATCCCTTTTTAGAGGTCAAGGTAACGGACACACCAAAAAGATCCAGAAGAGATTTTGGTCTTGACTGTGATGAGCACTCAACAGAATCACGATGCTGTCGCTACCCTCTAACTGTGGATTTTGAAGCTTTTGGATGGGATTGGATTATTGCGCCCAAGAGATACAAGGCCAATTACTGCTCTGGAGAGTGTGAATTTGTGTTTTTACAAAAGTATCCTCATACTCATCTTGTACACCAAGCAAACCCCAGAGGTTCAGCAGGTCCTTGCTGTACTCCCACAAAGATGTCTCCAATTAATATGCTATATTTTAATGGCAAAGAACAAATAATATATGGGAAAATTCCAGCCATGGTAGTAGACCGCTGTGGGTGCTCATGAGATTTGCATTTGGTTTTTAACTTCCTAAAACATGGAAGGTCTTCCCCTCAACAATTTTGAAACTGTGAAATTATGTACCATAGGCTATAGGCCTAGAGTATGCTATAGTCACTTAAACACAAGTTACAGTGTATGAACTAAAAGAGAGAATACATGCAATGGTTGGCATTTAACCATCAAAATAAATCATACAGTAGGAAGTTTTATGATTTCCAGAGTTTTTGAACTAGAAGGAGATCAAATTATATTTACATTCAACTATGTTACAACCTAATCAAAAAAGTAAAGCAATTCTCCTTGTGTTCTGATGAATCAAAGGAGTATGTGTTAAAGTTTATTTCTTTGCAGTTTTGTTTAATATTTACAGCAAAATCCATGTATAGTATTGGTAAAATGCAGGACTGTTATATGCCATCATTTGAATCATCCTTAAACACTTGAACTTTTATTTTATGATAGCATACTTGGTAAGATAAAATTCCACAAAAATAGGGATGGTCTACCATATGCAAGTTTCCATTCCTATTATGATTGGTACCATACATTAACAATCCATGCCAATGGTGCTAGGATAATAGGCTGGATGACTGGTGTTATCAGGATTTCAAATATAAAACATTCGGTAAAATGAGTTTCTCCTTTTTTCAGGTGCATTTTCATACATCTCCAAATGAGGAATAGATTTTCTTTAATCAAAGAAGGATCATTTTTCTAGAGGTCAACTTTGAATTCTGTAGCATATTGGAGGAACTATACTATATTAAGAGGCAGCCAAATAATATTAATTTTAAATGAAATTTTAAGACCACAGCCTGCCTTTGCAACACTGCAGTTTTTATGACAAAATAATGGAAATGATTATATCAATATTGTATAAAAAGACTTTAAAACAATTGCATTTATGTAATATGTATACAATATTGTTTTGTAAATAAATGTCTCCTTTTTTATTTACTTTGGTATATTTTTACACTAAGGACATTTCAAATTAAGTATTAAGGCACAAAAATGTATCACAGAAAAGCAATTGCTCATATTTCAGAGCAAATTAGCAGATTAAATAGTGGTCTTAAAACACCATATGTTAATGGTTAGATGGTTATATTACAATCATTTTATATTTTTTTACATTATTAACATTCACTATGGATTCATAATGACTGTATAATGTGAATGTGGAATTTCAATGGTTTACTGTCATTGTATTCAAATCTCAACGTTCCATTATTTTAATATGTATAATATTACTAAGTATATCAAAATGATTAACTCCATTATCTGAAATGAAGAATAATAAACTGATGACATCTCAACAAAAACTGTTACTTTATTTTATAATTTGATAATGAATATATGTCTGCATTTGTTTACTTCTATTCTGTAAATTGGGATTTTTGTCAATCAAATTCATTGTACTTATGACTAGGTGAAATTATTTCTTACATCTAATATGTAGACACTATTCAAATTTTATTAAAGTTTTCACATTTTTAGAAAAATGTGTTATAAAATTATGTTATAATGATGAATTCTAGATTTCTGATTTTCACTCTATTATAAGCCTAATGTTTTAGAACAAAAGTTTGACTTGAGAATTTTAGGTCTGTTGCTCAAGTTCTCACAAGTAAAATTCCTGTTGAATTGGTCTTGGTCAAGTTTCTTTACACATACAAAGGCAAGGACTAGTTATATCTGTTTCATTTCTCTTTATCTTGACCTGAAAACTATTTATATGTTTTCATAGGTTCAATTTCCAAATGCATTGCAGTTGGCAAGGATATATGGTCCTAGAGTTACAAGTTCTTCTGAAGCCACAGGGACACAGGGGAGCTACGTCTTTTTCCTAGCACTAATGATACTGGTACCTTCATTTGAGCTTTGGAAGCATTAATTTTCAAATTGAATAGCAAAACCATTAAAAATCACTTAGAAATCATTAAATGTGATATTATACATAAATATTTTTGAAGTGATATCTCCTCTCCACTCCCCATCACTTTAGCAACTTAGTTATAAAGCAATGACTATTTTACTGTTAGGGTTCCTAAATAATCCACAATTAATGGCAATGTAATTTAAATCATTTATCTTTATCAATTAAATAGAAACTTGAGTTCAAATAATTTATACTTGTGTTATCATTAATTCTAATAGCACTTATTAAAACTATTACATGATAAAAATTTATTTAAAATACCAAATCACATTTTAAAATGAAACACATGACTAGTACCAATAATATAACTAAGAAATTAATTCCTTGCCTGGCATGTGACATAAAGAGTTCAAATTTCAATTGAGTGGTCATTCATTTTCAGTTTACATGTTGCAAAACATACCAGAGTAAACTATGCTCACTTTGGTCATCCTTAAGTAAGATGTCTGGAAATGCAAAATGATCCTAAATTTGGTTCATTCATGGCTAGAGAACATTTTGGAAAGAGGGCTTTTTAGAAAATGTGCACATTTATATTAGATAGCACGCATGGTTTAGAGCAAGTTTATCTTTATTGCTATTTAAAATACATGATAGAGTATTTAAATATATTATACTAGATTACATATCAAAATACCTCAGTAAGTATCACATCCTATTAAGGAACCAACACAGTCTTTTTTGAGTTTTATTTAGTTGAAAGGCAGAGTGTTGGAGAGAGGGAAGGTGGAAGGAGGAAGAGACGGGGGGCGGAGGGAGAGATCTTTTATCTGCTGGTTCACTTCCTAGATGGCCATAACAACTGGGGCTAGGCCAAGATGAAGACAGCAATCAGAAACTTCATCCAGATCTCCCGAATGGGTGGCAGGGGCCTAGGCACTTGGGCCATCTTCTGCTGCCTTCCCTGGAGTATCTGCAGGGAGCTGGATCAGAAGCAGATTAGTTGAGACTTGAGTCAGTACTCCAATAAGGGACACAGCTTTGCAAGCCATGTCTTAACCTACTATGCCACAATGCTGGCCCCCAACATATTTTTTAATGTAAGATTTTATGGGGCTGGAGCTATGGTGCAGCAGGCTAAACCACTGCCTGCAGTGCCAGCATCCCACATGGGTGCCAGTTCATGTCCTGCCTGCTTCACTGCTAATCTAGCTCCCTGCTAATGTTCCTTGGAAAGCAGCAGCAGATTACCCAAGTGCTTGGGCCCCTGCACCCATGTGGGAGACTCAGAAAGCTCCTTGCTCCTGGCTTTGGCCTGGCCCAGCCCCAGCCCATGCACCCAATTAGGGAGGGATCCAGTGGATAGAAGATCTCTTTTTCTCTTTGTAGTTTTGCCTTTCAAATAAAATAAATAAATCATTTTAAAAAAGTTTTTACATATGAAACTACACTTTATCTGATGCATGTAAAATGTATGTATAAAAATAATAATTCTTTTTTTAATTTTTTTTTTATTTTTGACAGGCAGAGTGGACAGTGAGAGAGAGAGACAAAGAGAAAGGTCTTCCTTTTGCCATTGGTTCACCCTCCAATGGCCACCACGGCTGGCGCACCGCACCTATCCAAAGGCAGGAGCCAGGTGCCTCTCCTGGTCTCCCATGGGGTGCAGGGCCCAAGCACTTGGGCCATCCTCCACTGCACTCCCGGGCCACAGCAGAGAGCTGGCCTGGAAGAGGGGCAACCGGGACAGAATCCGGCGCCCCTACCGGGACTAGAACCCATGTGCCGGCGCTGCAAGGCAGAGGATTAGCCTAGTAAGCCACGGCGCCGGCCTAATAATAATTCTCTAAAAATCTAATCTCGCCGGCGCCATGGCTCACTAGGCTAATCCTCCGCCTTGCAGCGCCGGCACATGGGTTCTAGTCCCGGTCGGGGCGCCGGATTCTGTCCCGGTTGCCCCTCTTCCAGGCCAGCTCTCTGCTGTGGCCCGGGAGTGCAGTGGAGGATGGCCCAAGTGCTTGGGCCCTGCACCCCATGGGAGACCAGGATAAGTACCTGGCTCCTGCCATCGGATCAGCGCAGTACGCCAGCTGCAGCGCGCCGGCCGTGGCGGCCATTGGAGGGTGAACCAATGGCAAAAGGAAGACCTTTCTCTCTGTCTTTCTCTCTCCCTGTCCACTCTGCCTGTCAAAAAAAAAAAAAAAATTAAAATCTAATCTATAAAGGTTAAACAGTTTATGTCAGGTTTAACACTAAATATTCCTGATATAGAATGGTATACATTGGCAATGAAACAAAGACACACATGCTCAGCTTTCACTGATTCCAGCTTAGGATTACCTCTGTAAGAAAGAAAAAATTTCATCAGGTGATTACTGATGTTATAAATAAGAGTGTCAATTGTTAAATCAACAACGCGAGTCACTGTGCACTTACTCCCCATGTAGGATCTCTGCCCTTAATGTGTTGTACTATGCGAATTAATGGTAAAACTAGTATTCAAACAGCATTTCATACTTTGTATGTCTCTGTGTGTGCAAACTGCTGACATTTTTACTTAGTATATACTAAGTTGATCTTCTGTATATAAAGATAATTAAAAATTAATCTTAATGAAGAATGGGATGAGAGAGGGAGTAGGAGATGGGATGGTTTGTGGGTGGGAGGGTGGTTATGGGGGAAAAAAACGCTAAAATCCGAAAGTTGTACTTTTGAAATTCCTATTTATTAAATACAAGTTTAAAAAAGAAAAACAGAAAAAATTTCAGCAATTTAAAACTATTTATTTTGCATCAAATAAAGGTGATTTTTTTTACACACACTAATTTTCCTAAAAAACTGACTTTAATAAAATGTCCCTTTAGTAGTTGTCTACATGTGTTAAAGGCAGGACACTACTCACTAGAATTAACTTACAGAAAACTAAGACATATTACCAGATTCTGATACTGAGGAGATCTGTTGCAAAGCTCTTCTGAGAAGCACACCAGTTATTTGATTCCATTAATCTTAAAAGTAACTTTAAACCGAAAATGTTAAAATAAAAATCCACTAATTCATTCCTTTAATTTGTTTTCCTGACCATTCAAGACTATTCTATTTACAAATCTTTTCCTACAAGTGT